TCTAAATTCATTTTTCCTTTAAAAGCTTTTTATCGTTTTTATTGTTACTTTTTGTTCGAAACAAGGTGTCACATGTAGCTCAAGTTGGCCTAAAACTTACATCTAGTCAAGGCTGGATCTGAACTCAGCTCGTCTAACCCCTATCTCCTGAGTGCTGAGATTATAGGCATGTACCATCACACCCATCTTAAAAGCTCTAATCTTTTACAAAGTTTCAGAAACTTCTTAGGTCACACTTGAAAAATACATACATTTGATGATTGTACACATTGCACTTAGAATAGAAAGGAAGGTCTGCCCAAGTAACAACTCCATATTAATTTCTGAGTTTTGTGACAAGAACGCATATCATAGGCTCTTCAATATAATCTATAGTCAATGCACACACATTTTCTCTTTCCTATAACTATCAACTTGACCCACTCATTCATATACATACAGACTTTCATATTTCATGAGGAGAAACAATGGCAAAATGAGCACATTTCAATGTGATAATCTTCATGAGAGTATCACAGTCTGGAATATGTGTTCCTTTTTTAATTAGCCAAGTTTACAAAAGGGGAATACAGAAGTTTCAGATATGTGTGTTGGTCATGTGTTCCCAACAGAATGGGATGTAAGGATCTATATTTTCCAATATTCTCAGTTCTTGGGGCCATGGGGTATGAGGAACATTCTAGGAAAACATAAGATGCCCTGAAGCACAATATGTAGGACCATTCCCTAAGCCCACAGTGACCAGCTGGGAGATCAGGTTTAAATGCCCTGAGGTTCTATTTCTACATCAATCAACTGTGTCAGCCATCAGCTAAATGTCATGGCTGCAAGGCTCCTGGTATGCAGAAATCCACCTTGGTTGCTAATAAGTATATTTTCCTTAATGTATAAACTGGATTCAAAGAAGGTCTGTACTTACTGCCCACTATTACTTTCACAGATTTGCCTGTTTTACAGCTATACAGACAGGTATTTTAGAATATAAGAAATTAAAACAGAAATCGGAAAGCTTTTTAGTCCATTTTGCTAATTAATATGTCAGAGCTCGTAAAGAAGAAGTCCCTGGCTTTCTCAGTACTGCATCATCTTAAAGAGCTGGGTCAGCACAGATCCCTGCAGACAGTCAATACATATTAAAACAGCTCCAAGCAGTAAATCAAAACAACAGAAAAAGAAGATGACACAGTAGGAAAAAAAAAAGGAAGCAAATTTTATAATCCCCTTCATACCGAATACAGGAGGAACACTGAACTAATGATTGAGGTTCAGTATATAGACAGGGAAATTAAGGAACAAGTATCACAGATATCCTTTATCACTTTTAGTATAGTCAATATTAAAGCAAAAACTTTAAACATCAAGCACCAAGTTGATTCCATTTTCTCGGGATTCTAAGGTGCCTTCAGAATATGGAAGTCATCTTAAAATTGGTTATTCAATACCAAGTGGCCAGCACTAAAAACATATATGTATAGGTAACATTATATAAACTCAGTGGATTGTAGTTATGTTTCTAGGAATACACACACACACACTTTCACTCACTTATATAAACAATTACAGAAAATGGGGCCATGAACTTGAGAGAGCAAGGAGGAGGAAATGGAAGAGGTTAATGATGTAATAGTATCTTAATCTCAAAAAATAAAAAATCAGTTTTCTTGTTTAATCACATTTTTTTCTGTCTTACATTTCTAGGGTATGAATTTTGTACAATTAGTAGATTGGGAAAGACGTTAAAATATTTTTCAAGGCTCACTAAAACTTGTGCTGTTTTCTTAAAGGAACTAAACAAAGGGTATTTTATTTCTAACTTCTCTGGGTGGGTCTTACCATTCTGTAGACATAAAGACCTCCCTTTCATGGAGAAGATCCCACAAGATTACAGACCTCACTGAGGTAATAGGATGGAATGAATTTCCCCCCAGGGAAAGCTCACACAGTGAGCAGGTTGTTATGGGAACCTCAAGAATAATGTGTTGATCCCAGAAGGGGTGAAGGGAACCACCATTGTGAGCCAAAAATTATAGAAAGATTTATCTTACCTGGGCCTTTGATATAATTTTATCCCTGAGGCATCAACCACTTAAAGATTAAGCCAAGGAAAAGGTGCCAAAAATCTTGTCACAAAATTGGGATGCGCCCAAGCCAGACCAGCAGATGGAACTTGGCATACAGTGACTCTCTACTCACTAAGAAGCTGACTCAGAAGATAGCTCAACTCAAATGAATTTATTAAATGTTGAATATCTCCCAAATAAGATGGATGGTAGACTTAAGTCAGCATATACAATTTAATTTACTTTAACTTCCTGATAGTCTTGGATAATGTTAAAAGCTGTCCACATTTCTGGAATTAAAGAGGAAGCTACTCTTCTTAGCCAAAAGGATGCTGATCTATTACTTAAGTATTCCAAAGACAGGATTTGGGGAAGGAAAAATCATATTTCAAGAAAACTTCAAGGGATCACTTGAATATTGCCAGATGTATGATCCTGGTCCCTTACAAGGCAAAATATACAAGCCTGACAATTTGTGGCTACAGAGAACCCATATAAGTTTGACGTTGCAGATTTATTACCTATCTATCTATCTATCTATCTATCTATCTATCTATCTATCTATCTATCTATCTATCTATCTTGTCTATCATTCTATATTTTGTCAATTATCTGCCTAGCTACATATAATCTATTTATTTCCTGTAAAGTTTTCATATGATCTAACTTAAGTCGTCAGAATTAAAGGAACCTTGAATCCTTTGTTGCCTTCATATCACCACCACCTCCATCACCAACTTCCCATGAGAAATTCCTCAGATTAGTGGTTCTCAACCTTCCTAATGTTGCAACCCTTTAACGAAGTTCCTCCTGTTGTGGTGACCCCTAACCATAAAATTATTTTTGTTGCTACTTCATAAGTGTAATTTTGCTACAGTTTTTAATTGTAATGTAAATATCTGATATGCAGGATATTTGATAAGCATGTGACCCCGTGAAAGGGTTGTTCAACTCCCAGAAGGGTTGCAACCCACAGGTTGAGAACCACGGCTCTACATGAATACAGAATACATACGGGAGTTGAGTTTTTACATGAGAGATGAATGTTTAAAGAAAATTTTATTTAAGGTTAACTTTCAAAACACTATGTAAAAACTTTAGGGGGTACATTCTTGGAGCATATCCATTTATAAAACTTAGTCACATATTTTTCTCTAATGATGCTCTGTATTTTCTCACAAGTATCTAATGTTGTATAGGATGCACTTGTTCACTGTAACGTATCAGTATATAATTAAAGATTTTGTTTAGCCCTCTTCATTTTATGTCATGCTTGCTCTAAAGTTATCCGATTTCTTACTTGTCTTAATCTTTAAGTGGTTGATGCCTCAGAGGCCCAGGTAAGATAAAGTTGATGTTTTTTTCACATTTACACAGAGTCAATGGATGTTCAACAATAAACTCTAATGCAGTGATTATGTAGAAGGTCTCAAGATATAAGAACAATGACTGTTGGGGTGATTATATATTAGTAACAAATCTTTATGTGATTTGCTCTATTTTAACATTGTGTTTCATATAATATAAGGCTTGCTGGTACTATTTCTATCTGCTACCTGAGGTAAAGCTGCCATGCAGAATTTTATAAGATATCTATCTGCCAGCTATGAATCCTGTCAATTTTGATTTCTCAAAATCTGTAAGGTCATTATTTCAAGTTTTGTAGAGTAGTTCTTCATAAATATTTATATCACATTAGATAAAAGCCAACATTTAAATTTAACTAAAATATTATAGCAATAAGCTAAGATGATATTCTCAGCTCAAAAGAGTGACAGTCACTTTTGATTACCAGCAAAGGGTTTTTTTTTTTTTTTTTTTTAATGAAAACTAAGATTAAAATAAGATTGGAATTTTTGGAAATAGCCACAAAACTTATTATTTGCTCATTTTCACAAACCCAGTTTATAAACATTCTTAATGGGAAGAATGGAAGGGGGAACCTAAGAATCACGAAGCGGGTGTTTCCTGCTGCAGTCATTAGAAAATCTAAAGAAGGAGAAAAAGAAAAAAAAACATAATCTTGCCCTGGAACATGACAAAGTTAATGAGGCATCAATGCCACTTCCTACTGGAAAGGTAGTTGGTGCACAGACACAGCAATGGGGAAGAATTCTTTGTTTCAGCCCGGGAGGAATGCCAACCATAGGCCCTCTGCAGAGTGGCCTGCCTGAGTCAAATGGGTGTTGTTGTTTATTTATTTATTTTTTTTTTACAAGATGAGACACCCCTAGAGGTAGGAGATCACTGCAGGATTTGCTATCTTAGCAACTTTATGTGTTTGCAAATAATAGGCATAGATGATATAGAGGATCCCGAGGGAAGAAGAGGAAGAGAAAGCCAGTTACAAGGACAGAAGAGAAGGGAGGCCACAAAGAAGAGGAAGGAAGGCTTGGGATTGATACACAAGGCGCCTCGTTGGAGTAGAGTGAGACCTGGAAGACCCCCAGAGGGAACAGTGTGGGGGTTAATTCAGGAGGAGGAAGAGGGATAATACAGCCATCTCTGGCACAGTCCCTTCTGGTGACAGGCAACATTAGTATTTTTTTTTTCCCAAGAAATGACTGCATCTTCCTTTGATATTCTCTGTCTCCCAATTTTAATGGGAAAGTCATGTAGGAAAATTTTACAAACTTTCTTAGCTTTCCTAGTCAATGTTTTTGTTTCTTGAAAGTGTTCATCTAGGGTGTAGGTTTAAGGTTTTTGGTTTTATGATGATTATTTTGGAAACCTTTCGTCTCTTGAACATTTTGAGTCAGCATGCATTATGCCATTATGCACACAGCCAAGCGATAATTCATCTTTGTGGAAGACAGAGACAACTCATGTATTAATTAGAAAGCCTTTCACTGGCTGGTGCCTAGAAACAGGGTCCAAATGCTACTAAAACACAGCCAGCGATTTCCAGGAAGAGAAAGCCAGTTACAAGGAATTTCTTACCCGATCTGCGATCAGCCAATGACTGAGCTTTGCTTTCATCTGGCACTGAGGAGAAGAAATAAAAGAGACGAGGATTAGACCTGCCTGTAAATCAGCATTTTAAAACCATAAATTAATATAGATTCATAACAAATTAAATCTTTTACTGACAAAGATTTGAGGTTTTTTTTTTCTTCCCGCCTATCCTGGGGTGTCTCAATTTTATCCATAGACTTTTTATAGTCAACTATGAAGAGCTATGTTTATTAGGCCTTCTATGAATGTAACACTTATAAAACATTTTCAGACCTTGCAGTTCTTTTAACTGGGTTCTCTCTTTGATGTCTGTTAGGGAAGAACTAAATTCAAGGGCCTTGGGATATATAATAGATAATAAAGCTCCTTAAGCATTAAAGCAATATATATGTACATATTCAAGTCAAGACTCAAGGACCAGTCTTCTGTATCTGGTTAAAATAGAGAGGGGGAAAAAAGGAAAGATTTTTATGAAGAAAGGACAAAATTTATAATAATAATATTCAACAAAGGAGACATTAGGTCACAAAGGATGGACTTCTAAAGATGGAAAACACATACAGTGAACACCATGATCACCCCTGCTTTCAGTCTAGACAGCTTCCTGGAGACTGTGCAGAAAGGGGACATGGAAGAATCCAGTGGTGTCCCTTGCAATAAAGGCATGATATATGATATATATTATATATAATATATATACCATATATGATAGTCAGGGAAGTCAATGTATATGGCGTTTGTAAAGCACAGAACCATCTTACTACTTTTTTCTGATATCTTCAGAGACACGCCCCCCCATGTCCCTATGATTTAGAAAACCAATACCAAATAGAAAGAAAACAGCATTTGACCTTCACACAGACATGAAAACGATGCCCACTCCCAACCACTGCCGTGTCAAGTTTCATAGTTCAGGAGTTCACTTAGAAATAATGACAGCTCATACCTCAACCATGTGGAAGAATTAGGTCAAGATTTATACAGATCTCAAGAAATGGGGAAAAAAACCTCTTGAAAGGCACAGGTTAGTAAAGCTTAAAAACATAGAAAAAAGTCATATGTATGGCCTAATAGCTAAATTTTAAAATGAGTTTGTAAGTAAAACTTTCCCTCAAAGCTCACTCTAGGAATGGGTGACATCACAGGTGAATTTTATCAAATACTGAAATAAATAATATGGATTCTACAATTCCCTACTAGAAAATAAGCATAGAGAAAGGATTCCCACTGTGTCACATAGGGTTATTGTAAAACTGATATTAATATCAGAAAAAAGACAGTATGTGAAAAACCACTAATCAATATGTCCCCTGGACACAGACATAGAATTCCTAAACAATGCTCTGTGGATAACCACGTCAGTATCCAAGCACTGCTGTCCCTTCATTCACCATTTACTAATGTCCATGCCAGTCTATAAGCCTCTGGTAGCCAAGACTGAAAACAAGGTGAGGCAGAATGTGAGAACCAGGAAGACCGCCTCTGTCTTCCCTAAGGAGCCTGTCTCTTCCCTCTACCCACATCCGTCATATTTAACTGACCCAGTCACCACACATAATCAGTCACTCCCCTGCCATCCTTTCTTGGCTATTTCTTTATGTTGGAATTAAAAGCACTGCTTGCCTATGGTTATCCTGTTCTCAATTGTCTAAGGATCTTGTTAGACTTTTGGTTGCATGTATAGTTGGGTGGTAAGTCACACAGTACTTATCAGGCACTGATGGCCAAGTTCTTTCCTTGTTGTGTCTAAAAATACATACAGTGGAATCTACAGTATAAGTAGAAAAATACCCCAAATCAACTATGCTGATAACTAAAAATAACAACAGTAACTAGTATTGCTGAACACTTGTAACACACAGGTTCTACGCTATGTATTTTACATCTACTTAATTATTTTAACTTTCCTAACAATCTGAGAAACAAGTACTACATTCAAGTCTCAGTGGCCTGCATCTTATCAGCTGAAGGAGCAGAGATTAAAAGACAGTCTTAGCTGCTCCTTGGTCTCCGTGACAATCACAGAAGATTTGCTAGCTGAGGGATTTTAAGAACAAACAATGGCACAAATTAAATACAGGGAAACATTTAAACAAGGATATATTAGAAAAATCAGCATTCTTCTTATTTGAATTTATAACATTAGACAGAGATCTGGGCCACGTATGGAGTGCATGCTTGGAATCCTAGAACTTTGGAGGTGGAGGGAGGGTTATCTGGAGAAGTTTAAGGCTGTCTTGGGCTGTTAAAAATTATTTTTGCAGACTAACATAAATGATGTTGGCTGAAATTCTGATTAGCATGTTTGGAAATTAAAAGTTCAAATGTATTCAACCTAAACTATTTCTTCTCACCTAACATATGAGAAGTATTCTTGAGAGTTAGGAACCTGGTTTGGAAACTTGACAAGTTTTGTTCCATTATTAAAAGTTTTAGCGTTATTTTGATAAGTATCTTAGGAGTCATTTTAACTTTGTTCACTTCAATTTCACTACTGTGAATGAGTGAAATGTTGGCATTTCACAGATTTGTGGTGTTGATGGCAGAGATAAAACATGCTAAGGGCTTGGAAAACCACATGTTAACATATACAATACCTTAGCTATGGTCATCATTCCTGAGACACTAAAGAGAATGACACACAATGTGACTGGTGATAGCTGACAGATACCAGTTACCAGGAAAATGACTATACTCTTTTTAACTCCTACTTTCCCGTGTGAAGAATGGGGATACAAGCAGCACACAGGAATTTAGGGGAGATAAAAATGAAGAAAATTATGAAAAATGACTCAGCACAGATCCAGGAGAGCATTCTCTGTACTTAAAACTTTTGATAGTGAAAGCAGTGAGAGTGCTGATGGATGAATTTGGTCGTGATGGTGCTGACAATTATACTTCCTCAGGACCATAAAGAAATACAGAGAGAATAAGTGAGGACATATCACACCTTAGCAGGGCACCAGGTGCTTTCGTGTACTATCCAAAAGACAAACAGCCACTGTGGACACTCCTCCTCAGGGTATCTGACTGTAGCTCACTTTGCTTTGGAAGATGTGCATGGAAAACAGTTGAGTGAAGGGTCTTACCTCGCACAGCTTTTCCAAAAATGGGGTTTCCAGGTAGGCAAAGCTTTCGATGCTGCCTTGCTTCTGTCTTTGTGGTTTGCTTTTTCTTTTTCTTTTTTTTTTTTTTTTTTAATTTAAGTATTGCAAATTTCCTAGTCACATTAGGTTTTTCAAGGAACTTCTTAACTTTTTGGCTGAATAATGTCTATTATCCCTAGGAGGAATACTTATCATTATTTTAATAATTGATAAGTTGAAATTCTTTAGAATACTAAAATAAACTATTTCTTTTTAAAGTGTGGAAAATCCAAATGGGTGATAGGCATAAAAATTAGGGGTCTTTCTCCCAAATGTTCTCTGACACAGATGTCTATCTTTAGGACCAGTGACAAATGAACAAACAATGAAAAAGAGAGGGAGCAGTAACGACTTAATTAATAGAGCACATTTTATTTAAAAGGTTAAATTTGGAACAATCATCTTTTATGCACATGCTTAGTGCTGGGAAGCAATTTAAATAACAGTGGCAAATGAGAAAATGAGGTAAAATTACACACACCACCAATTTTTTAAATGGCAAGTATTATAATTAATACCCAACTTCCTTTATAACCCACATCACCTTAGAGCAACTATTAGTTATCTCTTGGGGCTGGTGCTCAAATGTGGTTGTTTCGTTGCATTATATTGAGATAGTACAGTGACTGAAATGGTCAGAACATGGCTCATGGCAGCTCTGTACTGTCGAACGCAAGGCTTGCATAAGAAACTGAAAACTGAGTGTGCCTCTCCTGAGGAAGGTCTTCTGTTCCGAGACAGCAAGGAACCCAAAGCACAAAGGAAGAGCGTTGGTGGGGGAAGGGCCTAGAGGTTTTCCATCCTTGTTCTGATGGAAGATGGCTTGACTTTTCTCCCTTTATAAAGTTTCTGGAGTTCATCACATTCTCCTTCGTTTTTACACAAGGACTGTGATTATTTGCTCTTGGGTATAGTCAAGGAATATTCTAGCAATTGAAGAGATATGAATGAAATGTTGAGTTCTTCTGAAGATGGCGTTTGGACGCATACTTATTACAGCCACTGTTTTTACTACAGGCATTATTAAAGGCTTAGAGATAACCATGAAGTTGTCCCTTTCCAAGTTTCTCTGGCTGTAGTTAGCTAATGGGATTTCTGTACTAACCTCCTGTTTCCTGACATTCGGCACACAATTGATGAACACTATTTGGCTTCATTGCCACAGGTGCTTAATAAAGAGGACACTGTTTGGTCTGGATGTTTGTTAATTTCCTGGTGTGTCCTCTGACTCCCCAGGAGGACTTGCATGGGGAACTGAGCAGCCATGATTGCCCATGTTTCTAATTCGTAAGTCTTTGAAGCTAAGGAGAACTGCCCAGCCGCCTAGAACATTTTTTTTTTAAAGCAATAACAGACTGTATTTTTCTTTTCACTTAATTTCAACCAGGTTCATTGTTAGAATTCAGAGAAAGAAAATACGGCGGGGGAAATGTCTATGATCAAGATGGCACTCTGCAAACTTGTTAGCAGCAGACATTAAAGTACACAGAATACACTCACATGTTGGCTCCCAGTAGGATGCATTTTTATTAATACGTGCTTGCTTAAAGTGTTTTATTCCTTTGTCAAGCCTTCCGACACACTTCAAATGCCTTCTCACTAGGGGAAAACAATCCTCTTGCTTATTGATAGCATTTGACACGCATTCTATAACATAAGTGACTATTAGGGACTTCACTTGCTTAATAAAAATTTGCAGAACAGTGGCAGATTTGGTGAGTTAATGGGCCCATATGCTCTTCTTAAGCTGACAGGATATGGTATATTGCTAACACGCACAAATCTCTTCAGATAAAAATTGCCATCAGCTACACTTATTCTTTTTGAGAATGCCAACACTATGTCATGAATGGAAATATGCAAATGTGTTCAAATTCTCACTCC